CTATATATATGCATATATATATATATTAATTTTTTTCTATACCTTTCAGTTTTTTTTTAAAATCCCAAACACGATATATTAATATGCCTTACTGATCGATCGTTGATTTATATGGCTAAGATTGTAATTCAAGTTTTGTGGCTTGCAACACTTTGCCCCTCACCCCTCTCTGCTGCTGGTTGTTGCAAGTAGAAGTAGACGACGACGAAGAAGAAGAAGTAGGAGAAGAAAGAAAATTGAAGCTGATGTATTTTTATACTCTTAATGTTAAGCAAAAACCCGAAATGAAATCGAGTGTAATTTATCAAATATGTGTTACAGTATGTGTTCGCGCGCGCCCCTGTGTGTGTGCGTGTGTGTGTGTGTGTGTGTGGGTCTGTGTGTATGTGTGTGTCCGAGTGTTCGTGAGTCTGTTAAGTGTATGCCACAAGCGCCGCTGCCCTCATACCTGGACACCTGCCCGCCTCCTCCATCCAGCCAGCCAAACAGACAGACGAACTGACCGACAGTTGGCCAATCAACTAGTTAACCAACAACAACAACAACAACAACAAAAAGCAAATTTAAATGTAACCGATCAAAAATCCGAAAACAAATCATAGAAAAAAAGCCTATATTGAGGTGCTTCTTGCTAGCACCACGAACACCTCAGCGTGACTCGACTGCAACATGCCCTGTCATCAGAATGAAGATAGAGAGAAAGAAAGAGAGAAAACACATTCGAATTGCTTGTCTAAATTTTAATTAAATATTGCCTTATTTTCATCTCGTCTCGGTCATACATTTTTTGTTTCTCCGTTTATGCTTAGAAATTACAAATTGTTAAATAAATATATTATGAATCTATAAGTATTTTAATCGAAATCCAAGCGATTTGCCATTCGACTTCGATTTAGAATTTAAGTTGTGCCGAGAACGATGTGAATTGATTCCTTGAAGATCTGTTGAAAGGAAAATGAAGACTCGGTTTATATAAAGTGTAGTAAGTAAGAGAAGCATAGGATAGAGGCGGAGCTTAGCCATAATATCCAATCCATTCGTATAACTGTCTAATCGCACTTGCTCAGTTTAAAATCTTTTCCATTGAGACTTGGCATGGAACATCTCACCGTGGAATAGAACATATATGGGATATATGTATATAGAGCTTAGGTCATGAAAATAGTAGTACGACTAAGCAATAAATGATGGATAAACATAATAGAATATTTATTATAAATTACGATTAAAAGAAAAAAGTAGTATATGGTTCCTAAAAAAGGAAAAAAAAAGTACTTGAACACTAAGGTCATATATTATGTTTTACGCGCAGTTTAACACTACTTGTAAGCGATGAGGTCCTCTCAACGCTTCAGAGGAATTTGCTGCCACACCTCCCTGTGTGTTTAAACCTGGATTAAAATGGGAAATACTTTACATATGCTCGGTGCATGTTCTACTGATTATAATTGCATTTCTAGGTATATCTATATAACTTGCTCCATCTGTCTATTGAACTATTCAATAATTTATAGACCAATAAATATATAATCCCTACACTACCTATATATTGACCAAGCCCAAAAGTAGACTAACTCTATTTGAGCGTTATCTGCTATAGATTCGTAATCAAAATTTATGATATCTGGGAATGATTCATCCAATTGCAAGGAAATATCATATTAAAGTGAAAAAAAAAACTTTCAAGTAATCTGATTCAGCTATCAAAGTTAGCACGGAGTGTTTTTGCCAATTTGATCGGGCAAATGCTCCAATCTATAAGATTTTATGGTTAAGAGCGAGATAGCTGTATATGAAAAACCAATGCAAAATATACTTACACAAACTATGTTGGCAAGGCATACAAATCAATTCTATACCCTGTAACCCTTACGACTGGTTAAGGGCATGTTCGACTAGTGGAAATTCAAATAAGTAAACTCGGAGATGGGAGACTATGTATGACAGAGCTTTACTAAAAGAATATGAAAAAGAAGCTGGGGTCATATGTCAGTCTCTCTCTACCTCTATATCCATTTGTCAAACGGGGTGGATTGATTTGCGCATAGAAATTGAATTCTACAATTTACAATTTGAAAAGATTTAATACCCACAAATTCATAATTCAATTTCTACAAAAGCAAGTTGAAATTTTTCAAATTGCAAATTGGGCACAGGGTATCATATGGTCCATATGTTTTCGTTTTTCTCTTGGGTTGCGTGCTTGAATTTTCGATCGGGCAGCTAAGTGGGTCAAATTAGAACTTTCTGCGCGCAGCGAAGCAGCGCGTGGTCCGATCTTTAATGGAGTCAATTTCTGTCTTTGTTTTCAGCTTTGGCTATAAATTTAGTGAGTATTTGCACCTGTATACAAGTGGGAGCTCACCTGTTTCTCTTGCCCATACGAATGATACCTCTTCTAACTTAAATACCCTTGAGCGTAGGGGTTTCATTTAATGGATGCAATTGAGGCATTACAGCTTGATTTACAAAAATTTCTTACTTTGTATAATTTATGCTTTTTTATGATATATGAATATGATATGCTATGGAAGTCGAAATTATGCAACTACTGTATATATCTAAATATAACGCAGCTATATGAACTATCTTAAATGCTATAAGTCTAAGATAAAATTCTATTAAT